CTGTCTTCCTACCTCTATACCACGAGCAACAATCTTTCTGTCCAAATGTACCCAGTGGAACACACTGGCACCAGTACAACACATATTGCAGAACATTAAACGGTTGATCTTAGGCGATGTTGCGGCGCATCGTTGGTCACCGCACTTGAACATTCTTCGTAATACATAAGAAATACCAAGTTACCAATCAAAACAAATTAAAAAAAATAATTTAAAATAAATTACTATTTTTTTTGAAAAAAAAAACGAGCTGTAACAACTGGGTGCGTTTTAGACCAACAGGAGGTTTCGCCAAATATTAAGTATCAAAATGTTGGCTTACCTGTTTATTCCACAAAAGAGGAAGAAAGCTATATGTCAATTTAGGAAGGTTCTAATATAAAAACATTCAGAAAAACACAATCATTATAGGAGTCCCAATTTAATATTAGTTTGAGGAGTTTGAATCCTAATGACACCTTAGTCACAGTTGATCAATTAAATATTTATATTCTCCAATTAATAATGTGAAAGAAAAGTAGATAAACTGTTAACTTACCAAAGAGACTTGAATGAGCCATTATTGAAGCAATGAACAAGAGAAGCAACGTAAATTGAGATGCCATACTTGAACTGCTCTATGAGATTTAACTAGTTATATCTTCTTCTTTTTTGATGAAAGAGTGGTTCCATGAGACGTTCTTTTATACAGCATGGATAGAATCTTTCTTATTTCTAATTATATGTCATATGGTAAGTAGTTTTGATAAATTAAAATGCAACTTATTATATGGTAAGCACAAGTTAGTCATATTTAATATCAAGCTTTTTAAGGGAAGAAACTCACTATCATTAAGTTCACCTAGAGCCGCATTTCATAAGAGATAGCACAATATTATTTTTACTTTAAACTTTGGAACTACAGAACAAATATTACCATCAAAGTATCGCCAAGTAAAAGTTATCTCCTCCAAATCTGAGATAAAATCAAATATTGCTTCGGAAAATCATATTGTCACGACCGGAAAGTTAACTAGTCGCGATGACACCTAACTCCAACCCACTAAGTAAGTCAAATGACAATCAACATAGCTCAAAAGAGATAATAAGAGACAATGAATGAAATAACTGAATTTTTCCATACAAAATCCACAGGATTAATAGTACAAATCATTAGCTTTTAGGACTTAGAATTTACAAGCTAATACAAAATAAATACATCATTTGTTTGAAATATACATAAACAAATTTACAAATCTAAAGCTACCAAGGACAAGTGACAGCTAAATTTGGAAAGCAAGTACATCTTCAATGCTAGCTCCCGCCATATACAGCTACATCAACTCCGAAATCTGCACGCAGGGTGCAGAAGTACAGTATGAGTACAACCGACCCTATGTACTCAATAAGTAACAAGCATAACACTAGATAGAAAGCGGTGATGATCTCGGAAGAAGGTCAGAGTCCAACAAAACTAGCCAATAACAACTTGTAATAATATATGAAGACAGTAAAAGTAACAGACTCAAAGAGACATTTTTTCAACTCGTTCACAGTTTCAGAAAAGTAGGCATGCTTTTCAAGTATAACCGTCAAGTCCAGATCTTACCACTAAAAATCAACTAAACATGAGTTTATCAAAAGAACTGTATTCACTAATTTACAATACCATATAAGAATTTTCATTTACCAATTAGCATGAGAAAAGTAGATCTCTATGCCTAGATGTCAATATACATGTCAAGTCATCAATTATCATGTACCGTCTATCATGAGGATTATACATCTTTATGTCTATATTTCAAATATACATGTCTAATTGTCAAGTGTCATATTACCATCTAGCATGAAGAAAAATGCATCTCTATGTCTACATGTCAAATATACATGTCAAGTATATATCATCACAGTGAAAACGTCAAAATAACGACACTTAGCACGCTCACGGTGCTTGGCACAATGCCCCAACCAACCAACAAACAAATCAACACTTAGCACTATACGGGTGCCTCATATAAATGCCCATCACAGAAGAACGTATATAAAATACTGTGCCTGCGCCCACTGCTGGTATGTTAGACTCCAGAGGGGCAGATCTTGCTTAAGTGCTAATCATAATCACATAGCCCAATAGTGGAGCCTGGTGCAGGCATCGCCCCAAACCAATAACACTTAGCCCATTGTGAGCCTGGCGTAGGCATCACCTTAAAATTTATATAACTGTTGCGACATGCAATCCGATCCAACATAACTCACAAAGTGGCTCTATGGCCCAAAACAATCATTAACAGTCTGAGTCTCAAATAAACACATCTTACTATATTCAGTTCAATAGTGTTACACATAGAAGACATCAACAACATGTGAGGAATCAAATAAGAAAGTACCGAGACAGAGATATCATACACGAATATATTATCTTGACTGGGAGTATATGTACAATTAAGGCAAATAGCTCAGAAATAGCAAGAATAGCCCTATCAAGTCTCAAACAGGTAGCACATAGCCTAGACATGATCTCTAATATGAATCAGAACTCAAATAATTATACATGTCTAAAAAACATGGATATAACAAGGCATGATAATAAAAAAATTCCATAATAGCCTAAAAGCCACCTCTAATCATAAACACTTTGATGCATGCGCACACGACCGTCACCTAGTGTGTATATCACCCCAATACCTCTCATATAACATAGTTCCCAGGGTTGATTACCCTCAATTTTAAGTTTAGATATGTTACTTACTTCAAACAAGCCAAATCCAATACCGAGCAAGCCAAACAACACTCTAGAAATGCCATCATGTGCGAATCGACCTTTGAACGACTCGAAACTAGCCAAAAGAAACTCAAAAATATTAAATAATTTCAAAGGAAACAAACTCAAACGATAAAGTTCGAATCTTTAATAAATTACTCAAATCAATTAAAAAACCAACCGGGTCCTGCACCTCAGAACCCGGCAAAATTCTCTAATTCGGACAACATATTCGAATACGAGTCCAACCATACTATTTTCATTCAATTCTGACTCTGAATCGAAGTTCGAAACTCAAAAATTCACTTTAAGAATGTTTAGACAAAAACCCCCAATTTCTCTTTAGAAATCATCAATTAAATACAAAAAAAAAAATCGAATATGGAATCATGAAATATAATTAAAAAAAATGAGTCAAAAATACTTCCTCCAATCCATGTGGTGTAAATCCTCTTCAAAATTGCCTAGAAATTGAGCTCTAAATTCCAAAATGTGATAAAATGAACCAACCCTTCAAATATAGAGAAATCTGCCAGTGAATCCACTTTTGCGGCCACTAAATCGCATCTGCCACTGTTGCTTTTGCGTTACAAGTCTAGAACCAGTGAGAAAGCCCCAACTCAGAACATATCGCTTCTACGACACTAATTTCTCCTCTGGGATTACGCTTCTACGCTCAAGGTACTGCTCTGACGGACGTGCAGATGCGCCGAAGACCCCGCATCCGCGACCTTCTCGCCCACTAGTCCATATTCTCCTCTGCGATAAAATATCCGCATCTGTGGGCACTGATCCTAGGCCACTTCTTCTGCTTCTGTTCTCCCTGTGCAGCTTTTGCGGCTCCGCACCTGCACCCATAGTTCTGCAAGTGCGATCAAACCAGGTATCAAAGATCCCAGCAATGCCAACATGATTTGAAATGGTCCGAATAAATCCGAAACACACTCGGGCCCCTCGGGACCCTGTCCGAACATACCAACAAGTTCCAAAATATAACGGGGACCTGCTCGAGGCCTCAAATCATACACAACAACATCAACACCATGAATCGCACCTCAAATCAAACTTAATGAACTTTTTAACTTTCAACTTCTAAAACTCATGCTGAACCATACCAAATCAACTCAGAATGACCTCAAAGTTTGAACACAAGATTCAAATGGCATAATGAGCCTATTCCAACTCCCGAAATAACAATCCGAATCCGATATCATCAAAGTCAACTCCCGGTCAAACCTATGAACTTCTAAACCTTCAAATTACCAACTTTCGCCAAATAGTGCAGGAACCTTCTAGAAACATCCAAATGCAAATCCGGATATACGTCCAAGTCCAAAATCACCATCCAGACCTAACAAAATAATCAAAATTCCAATCGGGATCAAATACATAAAAGTCAAACTTGGTCAATTCTTCCAACTTAAGGCTTCCTAGTTGAGGAATATTTTTCCAAATCAATCCTGAATCACCCGAAAACAAAAACTGACAATTCATACAAGTCATAATACATCATATGACGCTATTCATGCCCTCAAACCATCAAACGGAATATAAATGCTCAAAACGACTGGTCGGGTCGTTACATTCTCCCTCACTTAAACATACGTTCGTCCTTGAATGTGCCAAAAGTCATTCCAAAGCCATCATACCACTGTATAAACTCACCATGCACATACCCATGGGTGATCCCACGTTACCCAAATCCATGCAAGCCTGAAAACACAACATAACTGAGGATTGTAGACATGTAATTTTTGACACTCCCCAATATTTTACACATTTTAGCGTAAAATATTTAGTTTAAGGCTAATATAGTAATTTTCGACTAGTTTTGACTCTTTTACTTTATTTCGTCATAAAAATAAAAATTACAAAAATATTTTCTTTTATTTAGCTAATTGATGTTTTATCTAGTTACTTTTACTTTATGTACCTTTCATAAAATTAAAAATATAAAAAAAGAGTACCTTATTTTTATCTTTATATAATCTTAAAAATACAAAAAAATAGTTTCATGTTTTAATATAGTTTAGTTTAATTAATTAGAATTAGTTTTTGTATTATGTAGTATTTTTATCTTATACTGAAGGAAGTTAATTTTGGACCATAATTTTAAGAGTCTTAGAGACCAATTTGAGGACCCAATTCGGATCCCTTGGCCCAATTCGGATCTAGCCCATAATCCTAGGCCCAATACCCACTAACCTAACCCTAAAATCCTACTAAAACTAGACAAAACCTAGACACTAAGGGAGCCGTTTTTCTGATGGGGAGACACCAAAAAAGCTTCAGCACCTAAGACCTTAGAGACTAACGAAGGACCCCTGCTTCTTCATCTTCAACCTTCAGCCATCTCCACTGATTTGCTTCAACCAAAAACACCCAAAACTGAAGAACCCCTCCATAGCCGCCGCTGATTCTGGACCTCACACCAAACGACCACCCCATCTCCACCTCTTTCCGCCGCTAATCCCATTTTCTTCACCAAATTAGCGAAAACAGACCCTTCTTCATCGTCAACCAGAACACACCCATCAGCAACCACCAACGAGTCCAGCCGCCCAAGCCACCTTAACTAACACCTTCAGTCATCTTCTCCAAGCCGCCAGAAAACCAGCGAACTCGGATCCTCCGTAAACCACCAAGGTTGAGTTTCTTCGGCGAGCTTAAAGGTTGTGAGTGGTCGCTGTTTGGAGCTCCGTTTCAGTTTCATCCGAGGTTTAGTCGCGGTTCGAACACATTCAACCAAATTTGTCACGAGTAGGTTATTCTCATCTCTGCCCCCTGTTCTTCGTATTTTATCCTTGTGATATATATATATGTGATGTTGAAATACAACATTAGCTCATGTGGATCATTTTCTCTCGGTTTAATCTTTGCCTCAGTTGAGCCTTTGATTTTAATATGAGCTTTGATTTCGGTTTATACACCATAATAATAGCAGTACTTTAATTATAAAGTTATAACTAATTATCTGAAATGGAAATCGAACTTTACTGTGATTTGCTTTCAATTATGACATGGGTTATTCCAAAGTAGGGTATGTGTAAGTTGTCATTGGATTCATGGAAATTGGATTATGAAAAAACGAATATGTTTCTGATTCAAATTTTAAGAGATGTACAATTTATAACCTGAAGACCAGAAAAAAAGATAATTCATTAGAATATTTCTCATGTGTGACTGAAATTTACAAGGGATCATCCCTTCCACAATTAAATACGTTGTAGATCGTGGGTACGGTTCCCGTAACGCAATTTACAATGTGTACAAAATAAACGAGTGCGCGACATCGCGACTTGTTCTGACAAATTCCTTAAATAACTAAAAGCGGTTTTAAAAGGTTAAAAATACACAATAGGTTTTAAACGTGTAATTAATCAGATAATTAAACCAATTAATAATAGTTGACGACCATGCTAAAACCACAGAACCCGAAAATGCCTAATACCTTCTCTCGGGTTAACAGAGTTCTTTACCCGAATTTCTATGTTTCGCGGACTGTAAAACAGAGTCAAACTTACTCGATTCGGGATTTTAAACCGGTGACTTGGGACACCATAAATTATCCCAAGTGGAGACTCTGAATTTTAATAAATAATCCCATTTCGATTATTGTCACTTTAATTGGAAAAACTCCTTTATACCCCTTTCCGGGGTAGAAAAAGGAGGTGTGACAAGGATCCTCACTTCAACCTTAGCCCATAACCTTAGAATCAAATCTCCAACATCCGGAATACATTAAAGACCCAATTCTCACATCCGAACACTGCGCAAGTCTGAACAAGCTGTACCAAGACATAATCATAACCCAAGATATAATCACATGATATACCACATAACCCATATACCCATAGCAATAACTTCCGAGCATAATAACTGTCCATTAACAAGCCCGGTACCGATAATAATCCTCCTAACAATTGAAAACTTATTATGAACCTTTGTACACTACCAATGATGAAGGGAACACATAGATACTCATAACCACTCATCAGTCCAACAAGTTCTGGAGCTCTCTCGCCCAACAAGAACCATAGCCAAATTCTAAGCTGACAACTAACATTATTCTTCCAAACATACCGTAATCAAATCCGATAGTACTCATTCCAGGTCCAATGACCTCATCTTATCAAGTAAAAGATACTCAACTGACATGCCACACAAATACCATCTATAGCCATATGCCACGCGATCCTTACATCCAAACAAGCAACAACTCGAATGTTGGAAAGAAAATCAAATGAGAGGACCGTCCCGCAACCTCAACATATATTACCACAAACGTAATGCTATGAACCCATCACACATAATAGAACCAAGACACATGGATCTAACACAAAGGAACATATCCCAATGTAACTTTGCTGCACTTGTGACCATATCCAAACACCAATCCACATGAAATACCTCAAGCTATAATGCCCAAAATCAATAACCATACGAAAATCAACAACAAACACATGAAGTTCATTATCATATTCATGGAGAAATAGATAGAACAATATACCACAAGCACGAAGGCCATAGCAAAAGCGCAATCAACCATTCAACACTTTAAGAACCATCTCGCTCGAATTTTGCCATAAGGCTCAAACAGAAATGTATCATGTGTGCAAATACCCAACAGATCACAACCCATCATAGCATAGAAGAGTGATACATAGAACATATCAATACATGAACAAGCTCAACTCTAATTGAATGACACACCACTCAAAAATAGAATTGATGAGTCAATAAATTCGACCCGATGTAGAATGCACATCCTCGTTAGGCCTACTAATGGGCCCCCAAATCAACTCTGACCATCCATAAATAAATAAATAATCCTTCAAAAGTCCATAATAACCTAACCATTACACATACTACTAGTTGTCTAACTTTTGCCATACCTTCACGGTTCACAACCAAAGAATAATCTGCCTCTGAGAACCCTCCAAGTCTCCAAATCCCTAGAATACAAGAATTACCATATTCGATCCCATCTCCACCACTCGAATGACTAACTCATCTCTCATACTCAATCATCCTGCGAGAAATACATCCATAATTCTTCCGTGCCATATAGCAAAATCTGAACATCTATAGTTGAGAAACCAGGTGATTACCGTAATACTAGTCAAGCATCTGCAAGCCCAACACGATACGTCCACTAAAATGCGCACCCTCCTTAGGTGATACCAATTAGTACTAACATTCTTCTTAACATCTAAAACTGTTTGTGTTATCTAAAATTCATGGATTTCCCTTCAAAGTTGAACCGCAACATTGTACATACAAACCTCAATCTCATACGATGCACACCTCATCTATCATTCCATCATATGAAAACACAAGAATCCCATAATCAACTCTAATTCACATGCAGGATACATACTCAATCAGCTAGAAATTTACCACTAGGCCCCACATCTGAGAGAAAAATTACAACATCCAATATACTCATCATCCCTGTCAAATACATTTGCCCCAAACCTTGGTCGACACCAACGAGAACTCTTCGAAACTTGTTTTCACATAACCAATCCATCAGAACTGAATCCTTCTAACTCAGCTAAGTCACGCAAGTCGCCACCCCCAAGAGTAATGCAACAAAACACCGATAAAGCCTCACCATATCATAAGAACCAAAAGAATTGATCATTTCTATCACAATACTGATCTGATCTACCACCAAACTGTCCTATTTCTTCGAGTCCCCTCGACTTGCCATTAAGTTAACACTTCTCCTTGCTAGTATACTTCGATTCATAATCCAAAGTTCACTACTAGTTATCCTAGCATGATATCACGTTGTCTCAAGATCCATAAGCCAGTATATTCCACCTTAGACGCCAAAGAATACCGCAACCAAGATACACACCCTAAAAAGACCTTCCGCAAATCTAAAGTTGTTTTTTAACCTCTCTGATACTGAAATGTGGGATCCATAGTGATAAGGACATACCGCGGGTCCTGACACCATCCAAAACAAATATTATATCTAATCCTTTACAAATCCATAAATTCCTCATATACCACATATGAATCATGAACCCATTAGAACTTTCTCGAGAGTTATCCACTCTACACTAATCTCTAATGCACCACCAAAACGAGCCGAATGATATGTGCTCCGTTAGCACGCCAAAACCTAAATAAGTAATCCTCACCTTAACGCAATCTAGTGGCTCCCTTTTATTAACATATTACATCCATCAGAAATAACAAACTCAAATCATTTCAAGATTTCCATATATCCATAAAGTGTAACACATCATGCATCTAGAATTTTCCTTACTCGAGTCATCCTCGAAATCAACGTCTTCAAGTCATAACCAATTCACAAGTATGCCTCAGACCAAAATTACTATAACACATAACCATGCAATCAAATCATCGAAAGTGGACTCCCCCACTTGGTTCGAAGCCGTAGAACAAAATATTTGATAACCCACAATACCCTTACTCTATAACTGCCATAATCTCGCACTGTAATTCAACTAAATCCTTCATAATTTGATGTAACACAAATCGTAAAATACCTCAATTCATCTGCTAAGCTCACATTCATCGTCATGATAGTCAAACCAATTTCCTCAAGTGATCCAAACTCAAATTGCAACACTTGTAACCCACCAATAGAAAGAAAATCTCCATATAATTATCATAAGAATAAGACAACCTCAGAACATCCCGTAGGAGATAACCAACCTGATTGGTCTCAAACTAGCATCTCTCTATGCCCTTTCATGGCCACACTACTATGCAATCACTAAACCTTCCAGATTCTGAACTCGTCAACAAGACATATGACACAACCCACAATCTGGTTAGCTGTGATGGCACTTAACCCAACCTGCTAGGTAAGCCAATTATACACACCTCAAATAAGAAACATAGGAGCCAAAGAATAAAATAACTAAACTTTAAATTACAAGGATTTGTAATACAGATCATGAGCTTCTAAGACTTAGAATTTACAAAGCTGGTATGAAGCATAATTATCACATCTATTTGAAAATACAAAAATAGAACTCAAATCTAAAACTACCAAGAACAAGTGGTAGCCATGTCAGGACAACGAGTACATATTCAATGCTAGCTCCCGCCATATGCAGCAATGCACAGTTAAGGTGAGTTTTTAAGTGTGTTTTTATGATGATTTCACTTCTCAATCACTAGTTACAACAAGGTTTTTTGTTGAATTCTATAGGATTTCTTCAAAATCTCAAGAACACCCCAAAAGTTGGCTTTCAAGATTTGATCTACAAGAGGTAATATTTTACCCTTAAACCTACATGCATGAATATTTAATGAATTATGAGCAAGAAATAAGTATTAGCACTTATGGGCTGGTGATTGGAAGCCACAAGGGCTTAACCTAGATAATTGGATGTTGTAGAAATTTTGTAATGAGTTAATTAGTAAAATTTGGTGGATGTGAGTTCATTGTTGATTATAATGGTGCTAAATAAGCTAGTTGGTGAACAGAGGATGTTGTAGTATCTCTTGTTGGTGGGAAGGAGGGATTGTTGGATGAAGAAACACCATTACTAGGGGTAGTACAATGCTATGCATTCTAGGTGTTTGATAAAATGCCAAAATAACCTAAAACCTAGAAATTTTTACTAAAATCGGTCCAATTGAATTATGTTGATGTATATTTAAGTTGTAAGAGTAGTGGGTGGTCTTAGTATCACTAAAGAGCTCCATCAATGTATGCTGCCTAAACTCTTTCTATAGAATCAGATTCCCTGATTCCCGCATGAATTCCAAGCATGGTTGTCCTAGTTCCTATTTCCATTATTACGGATTGCTTCCGATGGTTGTATTCCAAGTGTTCATGAGATTTCTGTATATGTCTTGATAGCCAATGCCATGCTCCCTTCCTTGGAAATGTTTAGCAATTTCTTTTGATAGTCATATGCACATGAAAATGAAGTAATGATTTTTATACCATGAATCATCATGACTGAGGTGCATTAAAAAGATTGAATTACTAAATGCTCATAAAGATCTACACATTCCCTATTTTCTATTGCCATTCTATTCTTACTAAAAATGTTTCAAGCATGATTGACACATCAAATGATATGATTTAAACCCATGCTTCAATTGCAAATAACTATGCTCTCCTTTTGGGAGAAATTCATTCCGCTTAAGGCTATTTTTACGCATACTTTTGAAGCAATGATTTCCAAATGTTCTACGTATTGGTATTTTATAGCGATCCTCAAAAGTAAAAGAATGAAAGTATGGAATATAAAATGCGGCCATCATGTTAAATGTGTGGCCAAAAGTACGAAGGAAATGAAAGGACTTTCTAAAGGGATATGAGATGAGTATTTTATTTATATAATATTGTTTTTGAGAGTATCATTACATAACCGAGAAGGTATAGGTTATATAGGCCTACAACTGAAATGCCAGTGTAGGAATTGATTGAGGGGTAATTCCCTGTAATATTGTGTTGAGATTATTCCCCTTAATTGGGATGAATTTATTACTAGCATCAGTCTAAGCTCCCATGTTGATCCACACAACATCGTGGTGAGATGTCTTAGTCGATCAAGCAATGATCGGATGCTATGCCGCGTATATAATGGTATTGTGTTGTTATGTCAACCCTTATGGATCTGGGTGTGATGGATTAGTCGGTCTAGGGGTGATCAGACTCCATGCCATGAGCTTGGTGGGTAGTCATTCTTGATATTATATTGGATTCACCTTACCATGTTGATCCATATATACATCATGGTGAGATGACTTAGTCGGTCGAGCGATGATCAGACTCCATGCCATGAGCATGATAGTTTGTGTTGGTAGCTAATGATTTCCCAAACTAAATTCAAAAGGTATGTTTGAAGGTTTCACTCACACTGTGTTTTATATTACGACACACTTGTATCCATTTACACTTGTATTCATTTGCTACTCTTTCATGTTTTCCCAACTTATGTTTCTTGTTCCATTTTATATGAGGGTAATTATCTTTACATACTAGTACTATTCCATATATACTAATATCCCTTTTGTCGGGGGCGCTACATCTTTAATGGATGCAGGTGGTTCCGTAATTGGTGGCTTAGGTTCTTGATAGGTGTACCCTCTTCTCAGCTGATTTGGTGAGCCTTATTCTACTTCAGGGCCTTATGTCCTTTTATTTTGCAAATTGTGTTTTGAGAAATAGCCAGGGCCTAGTTGTCGGCATTCCCATATTGTACCATTTTCACTTAGAGGTTCCGTAGACGTATTCTGGGTTGTGTTTTGACTTGAGATCACAAACTAATGATTTTGTTGTATTTGTCGAATGTTCCACTTCAATACCATAAATGTGTAATATTTTGGTAATCAGAAAATGAAGCTCTTATAAAAACGAAAGTTGGTGTTGTACATACTATTCTCTTGATTGGTTTAACTCTTTATATTTATCCTCAAGTTATTCATGGTTAGAATTGAAAAGTAGGCGCTAAGTAGGCTTTCTTGAATGGGGTAACTCAGTCGAGTGTCGGTCCCGCTCCTCAAGGTCGGGGCGTGATACGTTTGGTATAAGAGCCTAAGGTTTTAAAATGTCCTAGGATGTCTTCGAGCCGTGTCTAGTAGAGACCTTCTTATCGGTGTGTTGTCGACCACATCTATAATTATGAGGCTACTTGGGCATTTAGGAATGTTACCCTTCTTTGGTATTCTAGACGGTGTGATAGAGTTGATTATAAGATTGTCCCCTTTTAACTCGTGCATTGTTCTAATTTTCAGTACATGGCACCTAAGAAGAGGTCAAGGAGTGGCGAAACGGCCAATTCCACCTAAGGAGTGGCGAAACGGCCAATTCCACCCAAGGAGTGGCTGGTGATTCTATACCCGATGTTACGGGTAAGCACCTGAGGGGTGAAGACATTCCCCCAACCACAACGCCTAATGATCCTACTACTCCTGTTGAGAATACACCAATTCCTACTTCTGCCGAGAATACAATGATTCCTCCTCACACTGATATCTCAGTCCCACCTCCAGCCTCAATTTCCAATCCTAGTATTTCTGATGGGGACCTTAGGGAGCTATACAGATGTTGACCCAGATAGCTGCTACCCAAGCCCATAGATTGAATGCTACAGCTACTTCTTCCAATCACCAATAGGATTCTGCTGGTTCTAGGGAGAACAAATTTCTTTAGTTGGATAATCTGGTATTCACGGGTACTAAGCCCGAAGAGAGTCCCCAAGCATTTATCAATTATATGCATAAGACTCTTCGTGTGATGCGTGCCAATGAGACAGAATTGGTGGAATTGGCTTCCTATCACCTGAAAGAAGTGGTGTATTCTTGGTTTGAGTTGTGGGAGGAGTCGCATGAGGTAGGGAGTCCTCCGACAAAGTGGAGTGAGTTTAGGACTCTTTCATTGATCATTTCTTGCCTGCTGAGACTCACGAAGACCATGCTGCCGAGTTTGAGAACTTGAAGTAAGGTAGTATCAGTGTATGGGACTACCATTTGAGATTCACGGATCTTTCCAAGGATGCTGCTTACATGATGCCCACTATGGAGGCTAGGGTTCACAAGTTTTTCTAGGGTCTTAGCCCTTTGGTTATTAATGAGGCTGCTACAGTTGCCTTGAATTCTGATATGAACTATTGGAAGATGGTGGCATTTTCTCAAGCCACTGAGACCCAAAAATTGAAGGTCATAATGGAGCAAGAGGGTAAAAAGAAGGCCCGATTCGCAGGCAACTTTGGAGGTTCTTCCAATGGTGGTAGTGGTGGAAGGTCAGTATTTAGGGGAGGATCATCTAGACCGACAAATTTTTTTGCTCAGTCTTCAGCCAGTGCCCCACTATCAAGGTCCAGTCAGCAACATTGGAGTCGTTTCAGGCCTAGTCAAGGCAATAGGGGATCCTATCAGCAGGGTTAGTCTAGCGTGATATTTCAGCCGTAGCAGAGGCCCCCCATGCCCTTGGTGTGGGATGATGCATTCAGGGGTCTGCTATGTGGACCTACCCATATGCTACGGGCGCGGTCTTAGAGTTCACATTTAGAGGGATTGTCATTTGTCCCGTCAGAGTGTTGGTAAAAGTATGGCATACCCAGCTAGTTCTATAGCTACTACATCCATGACACCTCCTCTAGCTCGAGGTACTCCAGCACCCACAACGTGTGGTGCAACTAGGGGTGGTGCACAGAGTTCGGGAGGACCTAGCAGGTTCTATTCTATAAGGAGTTTCCAGAGTTCAGAGACTTCTCCAGATGCTTTCACAGGTATACTAACTATCCAATCTCATGACGTGTATACTCTTATAGATCTTGGTTCCACCTTGTCATATATCACTCCTTATATTGCTATGGAATTCAGAATAGAACCGAAACAACTTTTTGAGTTGTTTTATGTATCTACACCAATTGGTGAGTTTATTGTGGCTATGTGGTTTTATAGGGATTGTATTGTCTCAATTCATGGTCGAGACACCACGACCAATCTCATTGAATTGGCTTTTGATATGATAATGGGTATGGACTAACTTAACTCATTTTATACCAAGCTTGATTGCCGAACCAGAACCGTTAGGTTTTAATTTCCAAACGAGTCAGTCATCGAGTGGAAAAGGGATAATGTTGGGCCCAAGGGTAGGTTTATTTCATACCTTAAGTCCGCAAAGATGATCAGCAAGAGGTGTATCTACTACTTGGTCCGAGTCATGGACATGAGTCTGTGCCAGTTGAGAATGAATTTCCAGAGGTCTTTCCTGATGAGCTTCCTGGCATCCCACCAAACAGGGAGATTGATTTTGGGATCGATGTGATGCTAGGCACGCAACCTTTATCTATTCCACCCTTTCGAATGGCTCCAGCAAAATTGAAGGAACTGAAGGAGCAGTTGAAGGATTTGCTAGAGAAGGGTTTCATCCGACTGAGTGTGTCACCTTGGGGCGCACAGGTTCTCTTTGTAAGGAAGAAAGACAGGTCAGTGAGAATATGTATTGACTATCGACATATGAACAATGTTACAATCAAGAACAAATGCCCATTGCCAAGGATAAATGACTTTTTTGATCAGTTGCAAGGTGATAAGTACTTCTCCAAGATTGTCTTAAGATTGGGGGTATCACCAATTGATGATTAGGAAGCAGGACATTCCGAAAAGTAGCTTTCAAGACTCGGTATGTGCACTTTGAATTTTTGGTGATATCTTTTGGGCTAACAAATGACCCAGCAGCTTTAATGGATCTTACAAATCGAGTCTTCAGGCCTTTCCTCGACTATTTTGTGATAGTGTTCATTGATGACATCCTTGTATATTCACGAAATCGAGAGGACCATGTCAACCATCTCAGAGCAGTTTTGCAGACCCTAATTAGCATAAGTTGTATGCAAAGTTTTTGAAATGTAAATTTTTTCTTGAGTCTATCACTTTCTTAGGACATGTTATTTCCAGCGAGATAATCAAGGTCAATCCTTAGAAGATTGCAGTTGTGAAGAACTGGCCTAGACCTACAAATCTGATAGAGATTCGCAGTTTCTTGGGCTTAGCTAGGTACTATAGAAGGTTCATGGAGGGGTTTTCTTCTCTTACCTCTACATTGACTAAATTGACGCAGAAGATAGCTAAATTTCAATGGTCAGATGCTTTTGGAAAGGATTTTCAAGAGTCAAAGTCAAAGTTGACTACAACACCAGTGTTGACCTTACCGGAGGGTACACATGGGTTTATTGTGCATTGTGATGCTTCAAGGGTTGGACTTGGATGTGTATTAATGCAACATGGCAATGTAATTGCTTATGCTTCTAGGAAACTCAAGAGCCCTGTAAAGAATTATCCAACACATCTTTTAAAGCTTGCGGCAATGGTGTTTGCATTGAAGATTTGACGTCATTATTTGTATGGGGTCCATGTGGAAATATTCACAGACCATAAGATTATTCAATACCTCTTTAAGCAGAAGGAGTTGAATCTATAGCAAACAAAATAGATTAAGTTACTTAAGGACTACGACATCGATATTCATTATCATTGGGGGAAGGCTACTATTATGGCGGATGCTCTTAGCCGGAAATCTATGGGCAGTTTGGCTCATTTGGAGGCATCCCAAAGGCCTTTGGCCAAGGAGGTTCACCGGTTGGTTAGTTTGGGAGTTCGACTTACGGACTCTAGTGAGGGTGGAGTGATTTTGCAAAATAGGGCCGAGTCATCACTCATATTAAGGAGAAACAATATGATGATCCATTTTTGGTACAACTAAATGAGGGGATTCATAGGCACAAGACCACGACTTTTTCTCTTGGCATGAATGATAATATGCTAAGTTACCAAGAGCGATTATGTGCTCCATATGTGAATGATATCTAGGAGAGAGTCATGATCGAGGCTCACAGTTCCAAGTACTTCGTGCACCCAGGCTCTACGAAAATGTACCACGATCACAAGGATGTCTACTGGTGGAATGACATGAAGAGGGATGTAGATGACTTTGTGGAAAGATGCCCAAACTGTGAGAAAGTGAAGGCCGAGCACCAACGCCCGATGGCTTGGCACAGAATATAGAGATTCTAATGTGGAAGTGGGAGATGATTAATATGGACTTTGTGGTAGGTCTACCTCACATGCCTCGTAAGTTTGATTCGATTTGGGTGATTGGACTCACGAGATTAGCACACTTCTTACCTGTTAAGGCCACCGACACAGCATAACACACTGCTCAGTTGTACCTCATGGAAATAGTCAAGTTGCATGTCACTGCGTTGCGTGCATGTGTTCTTGACTTCGAAGTAGCTGGGATGATCATTTTTCGCTCATAGAATTTGCCTACAACAATAGTTATCACGCCAGCATTCAGATCGCACCATTCAAGGCTCTATATGGTAGGAGATGTAGATCTCCCATTGGTTGGTTTAAAGCTGGAGAAGCAGAATGTATAGGTCTAGACCTCGTGCATCGGGCTATAGAAAAGTTCAAGATCATTAAGGAGAGGTTGAAAACCGCTCAGAGTGGCCAGAAGTCCTACTCAGATGTGTGTCAGAGGAATTTGGAGTTCCAAGAGGATGATTGGGTATTCTTGAAAGTTTCCCCCATGAAGGGTATAATGTGATTTGGGAAGAAAGGGAAATTGAATCCAAAGTACATTAGACCGTACAGAATCCTACAGAAGGTTGGACAAGTAGCCTTATAGGCTCGAGCTACCTCAAGAGATGTTCTTAGTGCACCCGATATTTCTTGTGTCCATGTTGAAAAAGGTAGTTGAAAACCCGTTGCGCAATATTCTGGTGGAGGACATTGAAGTTAATGAAGAATTGACCTATGAAGAGATTCCGGTTGCCATTCTTGATAGGCAAGTTTGAAAGTTGAGGAATAAGGAGATCGCCTCTGCGAAAGTGCTATGGCGGACCCAATAAGTTGAAGAGGCCACCT